TTTCTGATCACTGGATCAAAAGTTAGCAAACTGCCTGATTGGTGACGGTATTTGGCGAAAATGCCAATCAGTCACCAATCAGTCACCAATCAGGTACCTGATTGGTGACCGATTGGTGACTGATTGATGCCTGATTTTTCACTTTTCGACCTGTGTATAACAACATTTTGATATTTCTCATATTTACAATATCATTTAATTTTCTTTTTTCATTTAGTAACCTATACCGGGCTTGCCTTTATTTTCTTTATAGAAGTATAGTAGTTTACGGGTTTGTCACTAATAACTTTTCTTTTCTTATAATACTTTTGAATTTTTCAATCATTTATTAACTTCTTATTATTCACAAAATTCATTCTCCTTATAAATTTTTATTTTCATTTAATTTTTAAATCTTTTCATTATTATCTTGAATATTTCATTTATCCTTTCGATATATACTTTTTTAATATATCGTATATTTCATTTTTCATATATTCCGTAATATTCCTTTTTCATAATATTACTTTTACTATATCCTTTTTCATATATAGTAACATTTTTCTCATATTTCAGATAAGTCTTCATTATCTTATCATTTCTTTGATGATTTCACATATCATCCTTCCTTTCTTATATTTCTTTGATGATTTCTCATATCATCCTTCCTTTCTTATATTTCTTTGATGATTTCTTATATCATCCTTCCTTTCTTATATTTCTTTGATGATTTCTCATATACTTTTCTTTTATTTCTTATTTAGATTTTGTATGAAGACAACAATCTTTTATTTTCTCGTGAGCATGCACCAAAATGTGACATGCCGCCCATAGGATATTAAAATAAAATATCATATGTTGCCACCGACGTGTTGAGTTCGAATATATTATATGCTTGGTTTAAAATAAAAATTAGTTACAAAAAGTACATAAGCATTATTTTCTTACCAAAATTTTAAATTGTGATAGTTTCCCCAAAATTATAAATCATTATTAGGTCATTAAAAATGACACTTCTTTTTCATCATAAGAAAAAGGTTAAAAGAATGTGTTAGTTTATTTTTTTTTAAGGGCAAATTAAAATTTTTTTTTTATTTTCCAAAAATTTTTAACTGCCGAATTCCCTATCGAAATCCACTTGTATTTATACATTTTAAGAAAATCATTTCTACTATCTACTACTCTTTCTCTATCAAAATTCCATCGGCTAAATATTTATCTGTCACTTACTGCGCCATGTGACTTGTCACGTGACTTTTGTATTC